ACTGCATTTATGTAAACACATATTTCCATTTGAGAGGGTAGTGATTGGTCTAATGGATAGTGAGGTGGGCTGAAGATCGGAAGGCTGTGAGTTCAAATCCCGCCAGGAACACCACCACTAGTGTGCCCTTGAGTAAGGCACTTAGCCCTTAGTTACTCCAGGGAGAATGTCCCTGTAATCGGTCATTATAAGTCGCTTTGGATAAAAGCGTCAGCTAAATGAAATGTAATGTGATTAGTAAAATATGCATGAATAAATAAATAAAAAGTTAACTAGGTGAAAAAAGGTAAGATACACTTTTAAAACTTGTTGAGAGAAAACTAGTCTTTGCTGCTGCCTCAAAGAGGAGCAGGGGGAGAGGATGGAGAGGGGGGAGAGGAGGGAGACAGGAGAGGCTGATTCAGGAGCACAGACACACTCACAACTATAAATGAACCAAAAATAAATTAATAAACAAGTTTCAGTGTTTTTTTCATATTGGAAATGGTATGTTATTGGTTATGGCCATGATTTTATGATTATTGAAATGTATACAGTTCTGTTTAATATAGGTGTTTCCATAGATCTAGTCTCTTTATTTTCCCCTCAAAATGCACCAGATTGATGCATTTAACTCCAAAATAAAAAATAAAATCTTACCGGGGGGGCATGCCCCTGGACCCCCCTAGAGGATTTGAGGTCGACCCCCACTAAAAATCACATGGATAGGTTCCTAAATACATTTATTTTTTTAAATAGTAATCCATTTCCATATGTTCATGTGTGGGTAGTAGATTTAAACTATAGGGCTATCATTATGGACCCTGCCTGTACCTGTACCTGTTCGCTCTGCCATCGCGTGAAGGGTCTGCTAACAAGCGACCAACAGAAAGGTTAATGTTAATGTTGTTGCACGTCACCTCAACCCCCCCCCCCCCCAAGTATATTTCAGATCTGTGGGAAACACTGGCAGTTAATGGACCAGCACCAGAGGTGTTCCCATACACACAGGCGTTGGAGCTGGTCTTCATGAAATCCCAGAAGGATGAAGTGCTCTGACAAACAGTGCCATCTTTGCGCAAAATGATTATACCGGAATGAAAAGTCAATAAATAAACATGTTGTTAAAACTTTTTTTTTTCTCCGTACACATATGAGGGTGAACATATAGCAGTGTGGTCATACAGTACCTGCTCCCAGCAAGGCCTGTCTGGTGGGGGCCTGTCCTGCTCCCGCCTGAAGCACGTTGCCCATGTACACTTCCTTCACCTCCTCAGGAGCGATTCCTAAACACAAGAACACTCATTAGGGATGAGACCGGCCATTATTTTTTATTATGGGTATAAATTGATTTTTTTTTTATCTAGATTCGTCATTTGGTCAATAAAATGTAAGAAAATATATCTATAAATGAATATTGCTTTTCCCCTAAACCATTTTTACTAGGCTGACGCATTAATGCATCAACATCGGTTTTAGAAATCAAAGAAACCACTAAATAGCCGAAGAAAGTGTCAATACCTTTCAATACTGTGCATACTGTACGTTGCCAAGTATGATATCAGATTTAAGAGGGGTTTGGGTGTAAAATCACTGCAGTGAACACTGCGTGTATTATGTTAACTGCCGTAAATAAGGAAAAAAGTCTGGACATTCAGCCAGGCACGACTCTCACAAAATCACTACACTTCATATCTTCATTACGAGTCCTAATCATAATGCAGGTTGGGCTCGCCTTGACAAACCCTAAATTAAATAAGCAGAGAAAGTCTTTACCTATAAAAATTCCATTTACCAATGATATCATAGGGTGGGGGATATAACCAAAAGTTGTGAAGCCATCAGTGTGTAAACGTATTAGTACGCAGTAAGAAACTTAGCATTATGGATGCATTGGCAGTGTAAGGACTAACTGAAAGGCAGGGTTTGAGACCTCCCTCCCCAAAAGCAACTTGATTTCAGAAGAAATAATTGTCTTGGCCTTCCTCTCTGTAGTTTCTGTGAGTCACTGTAAAGCAGTGGTTTGCTGTAAAGAACCATTAATTGGTAGGATCATTTATACAAAAAAACTTACATTTCCAGATGTACATATTTTTTAAGGTATTTTAAACCTTATATCTTGCACAACATTTGTGCACAGGTACACTTTTAGTTTGGATCATACACACTGTTTTATAAATGAGACAGATGATGATTATAGATCAGCTGATGTTACATCTGAAGCTTGGCTCAAATGGAGGAATTTTGTTTTCTGTGAACATACCTGCTTTGTCTATGGCTCCCTTGATGGCAATGGAGCCCAGTTTGGTGGCTGGTAGTGCTGCCAGGCTGCTTCTGAAGGAGCCAATTGGAGTGCGGACCGCACTGACAATAACAACTTCCTGAAAACATGCATTTAAAGTCTGCATTAAAGTATTTACTACAAATATTGCATTGTGCAGAGAATTTCAAATGTCAGTTAGCATACTTACATTAAGTGCCGGTTGAGATGCATAGGTTCTTGAGAGGTACCTGTGAGCCTACAATAGCAAAACATGTAGCATACGTCATCAATCATTTTCTATACAGGAGAGCTTTCCTAGATCTACAATCACCTTTTCGTTCAAGACTTATGTTCAATATGAAGCCCTGGATACAATTCTTGGTCAAACTAAATACTTTTTAACAGAAGCCCTAAATACAATTTTAACAAACTAAGTTTTGTCTCAATCAAGTACAGAACGTATTGGTATGTGAGCTATGCTAACTTTAAGGACACACACAAGCAAAGCACAAGAGTTTGCTAGTTTATGACCAAAATTGGCTAAATGTAAAGGTTGTAGTGCCGAGAGACGGTGTATCGAAAGTACAAGCTAGACTTGTATTAAGCATCAAGAAAACATGTAAACACTTCAAGCCCTAGAAGACATGCCCGGCGGAAACAGCAAGTCCGGTTAACTCAAATGTCCGTGCGGAACAATACCCCAACCCATAGTTCCGTGGGTGAATTATTAATCCACCACAAGGTCCGTTATCTAAGACTGGTATGTCAAACGTATAACGTTACTTGTCATCTGCTGCAGATGCTGTTTTGTTAACATATTGTTGAGAAGCTTACTTGTGTTTTGATATGAGATGAAGGAATTAAAGCGCTCGAGCCACCTGTGTTCAAGCTACCTGTGTTCAAGCTGTTACATTACTTTGGTCAAGGACGCTCGGCACACACTAAATGCTAGCTGAGCAGGCCCTTTTGTTTACAGCCAGACAGACTGTTACTACAGCATATATGCAATATAACAATATAATGATAACACGCACACATTAGTTTTGCACACCCTCACTTACCAGGCGTTTACACATCTGAGCGCGCATGGTTAAAAGTCCACTGGATGACATTTTTTACTAAGAGACAGGACACGGCTCACACACTTGACTTGGACCCGCTTCACCTTCAGCTGGACTTCGGAGCGAATACAAGTAGTACAGCGGAGATACAAATATCAGCCAATCACAGTGAGAGGTGTGTGCTCCTTACGTCATTGTCTGCTATGCATTGTGGTTGTTGTAGTTCAATCGCAGTACATCTTTTGTCATTGACCACATAACATATATTTACCCTCAAAATAAGCATAAATACAGGGAGAAACAGTGGCACCACGGATATTCCTATCTTAATATATGTTGTTCCTATTTTAATAGAGACTACGTTATAAACACATACTACAGTAACAGGACACCTGGATTGAAACTAGAGCTTCAATTGCTAGTGGGCTCTGCTCTGTAAACATTTGAGTGAGAATTATTTTTACTTTAAGCGGTTTTAAAAGTACACAATGTGTGAACATGTCACTAGCAAGTAAAACCTAAAGAAAATGAACATCAAGCCAATGCATTCTTTCTCATCAGTTCCCACTGCCTATAGTGTGCTTAACAGTTTTTTACTTTTGCTACGTAACTCTTATGAGATCATGCTTGAGAGATTAATGGGTTCCTCCTAATCTTACCTGTGTTCAAACCTGACTTCAAACACACACCAGATTTCTCCTATTTATCCCAATCCACAAACTCTGACATGATGAATAAGAATTGTATTTTTTTTTCCCAAACTATCAGAATCAGAATACCTGTATTCGTCCCACAGAGGGGAAATTAGCATTTGTTAAGGCAAGAAAATAACCAAAGACAGCTTAATATTAACTAAGAAGCATGCATAATATCTGCAAAAATATTAAAGATAAACAAATTAAAAAAGGTTACACAATTTACAAAATACACATCCTGTAACAGTTTTTAAGATTTAACAGCCAGGTATATATTGCACAGTTATTAACGACATATATATGTATATATATATATCTATATATATATATATAGATATATATATATACAGTGCGGACAGGGTATCCTGGAGGGGGTCGGAGACATTGTCCCACCAACATTGTAATTCATTTCATTTAATAAAACTGAGGAAAACACAGAGGGCCTGATGTTCTAATCTACATCTACTTATTATCTCGTTTGTCCTTATTATAAGCACAAGAAAATACATATTGGGAGACATACCACTTCACCCAGCTAAGACGAGCTCTCTAAAGCCCAGGTTATTATGTTGAATTTCAAAATTGTTATAGTTTTTGTTGGTATTTAACCTGGTGGATCAGGGAGGGAAGAGTAATACATTTATCACTGTGATTTTGTTAGGTTTTAAATAAGAGTAGTATAGACTTGGGGTGCACAGGTAACCCTTGTTATTAACAGTGACTTGTATGTAAAGTATTTGTATTTTCGCTTTGTTAATATTTTTAGTGACTGTTTGACTTTTTAGGAACACAATCTTCTCCCCACTGCATTTTTCATGGATGCTCATCAAAATAAATAATAAAGTAATTAGCTTACCATATGATGCAGAATTTTAAGAAATATTTTGTGACATTGAAATCTCTTCCTATTTGCCTTTTTCTTGCTTTGACATAGAAATGTACCCCAAAACCGTTTTCATCTGATATCAAACATGTTCAGTTAAGGAATTAAAGCATGTAATGTTCTTTTTGTAGATGTTTTATTAGTTGTATTCATTAGCAGCAATTATACAAGACCTTGGTTACTCATATGCTTTTGACCAATTACATTAATTATAATACTACAATATCTTTAGATTATATAAATAAAGAACAGTAGAAGTCTTGAAGAAACAGAAGCCCCTCAGATAAAACTGAATATCTGTTTTCCTGGCGGAAGAGTTTCATACACCACATAAATACTGCCAAGTATAACAGACATGTAAACAATCTATATACAAATATATATATTTTTAAATACTTCATGTTTACAGATATAGATTTGGTAAAATTCAGTTTAGAAAAATATATTTCTTACTAATAGAACAAATTAAATGTGCTTTTTAACACTGTTCATTCTCATTCAGTGGCTATAGAACTTGATGAAGAGGACTAGAAGTTACTGCAGGGCAGGAAGAAGCTGTTCCTCAGCACACGGTTCAACGTCCTGGACCTGTACTCAAATATGTAGGGTCCAGTGTAGATGTAAGTAAAACCTGCAGAACAGAAAATCAAGGTTAGTTTCTTCTTATTTTTGTTATACAGAAAGACAGGAAAGCAGAGAGGAGATGACGAACAGGTCAGATTCAAACTCTGATCTGCTACATGCTACTGGGTGGCCCTCAATTGTTGTTCCTGTGTTCAAGGAATAGTTCAACTTCTTAAAAAAAGGCCTAATCCCGTTATTACCCAGAGTTAGAGGTTAAGATTGATTCCATTCTCATGAATGTGAAGCTGCAGCCTCAATAGGGTTAGCTTAGTTTAGCAGGTCAGAAGCTAAATTAGCTAGCCCAGCTCGATCACACAGTAACTAAGGGTGTGGAGGCTATTGTTATATAACATTACAAGAGTGATTCTTATTATTACATTATATGCTTATTGTGCTCATGAGATTGCTATGACTATAAAATAAATAGACACAATCACTAATCCCAGGTTCTGATGGGTTAGGGAATAAGGGAATAGTCATATGAAAGTTTTAGCTTGCATTAGAAATGTTGCAAAAGCCAGGCGCAGACACTATAGAAGACAAAGAGTTATTGAGGCTCTGGCCTTGGCCGTGTGTGTGTGCTCAACGCCTACGCATAACTGGGAATCAGTGTTTAAATGGAGGATTCCACTATCTATTGCAAAGCAGCTTCAGCAAAACAAATTACGTAGGATCGCGTGACTAGAGTAGGGAGGGACCTTCACAGGCCGGCCGAATGCTGATTGGAGGTCGTGTTGCCAAGAGACTTTGTCTAAGTCTGTGCACCAACCAGGGAAGCCAAACCACGGTTCTCCCCCATCTAGTCTCAACCAATCATACATGTACGGGCAGAACCCTGAATAATAAAAATGTATTCACTCACAAGGTTCGGGGCTTTTTCCGGAAATAGTGGTTACAGATTACAGCTCTGGTGCCTGGGATTTCTGTGACCGGACGGAGTCCTGGGTCAAGTGAAATATATCTTTTGCTCTCTTTTAATAAATAGTTAAACTTAGAAGTTGTTTGTCTTTCCTGGAATTAAAGAACACGGCAAGGGTGTGTTCGTAAACAGTCTTACTCCTAGCTGAAATGCACTTAGGCAGAAATTGGACCGTTTGTAAACTTGGTGCAGTGTTGGAATGTACCACCAGGGTATTTCATAAAAACGTTTAGCTAGCTAACTGGCTATCATGTTGCTTCATAATAATCTGTTACATTATCAGATGAGCAAGAAGCACCACATTTTGTATTCTAAATACAGTAGTAACACTTTCCTTTTATATATTCAAACGTAAATGTGTAGATTCATATAGAAAATAGCATGCTCTTTTTCTTAGACCAACTACAACACTCATTTTAGTGCAGAGCGTCAGATTGAACAAACTGCCTCCTGTTTAACAGACACAAGTGAAATCAAGAAAACTAATAAATACACTTCCGCAAAACATAATTTGTGTGTGAAAGTCTAGGAAGAATGTGAGAGTAATTATTTCAGTAATCTTGACATGGGAAACTTAGAATGCCACTCACCTCGGTGCTGGACGGCTGCAGTCACCCTGCCGTTCAGGCCAGAGAAGGTCTGATCGACTATCTTGGGAGATCCCCGTTCCATGGTCTGTCTGCCCTCATCATAACTGAAAAAACAACAACAGTCATTAGATAGATTCAACAAGGTTAAAGGTTAGAAAATATCTCAACAGAAATCATGTGTACACTGAACACACCTGAAGTATTTGCTGCCTACAAAGAACAGAGTCTTGCCGGATTCTGCATCATAAAGGGCAGCATCGATTTTCCTCACACCTCTTGGGAAACCAAACCTGGTGAGCCTTTTAGGATATCCACGTACAAGATCATAACCTCTGAAGGCCCACACTTTACGGCCTAAAAGCAGAAAAAGATAACAGAGTTGGTTCATTTTGAAATGCTTTTATATTGGAGCCGTGGACACGTTATGAGAATATAAACCTTTAAAGAGATAGACTTTGTCTGAGTTTCGGCTTTCATAAGCAGCGTCGATGTTGGAGGGGGCATCGGGCCAGAAGTTTGTGATGAGACTCTGCTGAGGTGTTCTGCTCTGAGGGTAGATCCGCCAGAAGAAGCTGAGAACACACAAGAACATGAATGAGTTCATAATTCAGCTCTTGGGTGAAAAGAAAACCCTGTCAATGGGCTTCAGGTTTCATATTTTTAAGCATTCTCCAGGATGTCTGACCTGTCCTTGAAGAAGAACATCTCTCCTCGCAGGGTGGTGACAGCATCCAAGACCATGGTTGAATCACAGGCATCAGGAGTGGTGGGGGGCTGTGGTTCCTCTACAGAGGGATCTTTACCAGTGTTTGGACCTAGAGGACAAACAGAATGAGTCACCAAGTATTCAGAAATCCCTGCATCACATTGCAATGAAGCCCAAATAGTTGAGAAGCAATTCACAATGATTGTCCAGTTCGAAACCCGCTCCTGCCGCCACTGCGTCAGGCCGTTGTGTCCTTGGACAAGACACTTCACCCGGATTTGCTCCTGTGGGTATTGTCCACAGTACATGTATAATACCAATGTGTACTTGTAAAAGCGCCTCGATGACCTCGAGGCGTGAAGATGGACGGTGTGGCGCAGTGCGCTGTGCAATGATCATCAGATCAAGGGGTGAAACCCGCCGCTGCTGCGTCTGTAAAGCCGGTGTGTCCTTGGGCAAGACACTTCACCTGAACTTGCTCCTGTGGGTATTGTCCACAGTATCTGACCATTGCATGTATGATATATGTGTAATGTGTGTATATGTAAAGCGCTTTGAGTCATTGATAAAGCGCTATAATAAATGTAAGGAATTATTATTAATTATTATTATTATTGTGAAAGATTGACAGCCGGTTTGTACTAACCATAGAGAGACTGGATGCCGTTGACGTCGTCCCGGGGCAGGATGAAGGTGTCAGGATTTCTGTATGTGTACACAGGGTACATGAGAGCACCAGCATCATCAGAGTGAGACAAGCCCAGGGAGTGGCCAAACTCATGGGTAGCCACCATGAAGAGGATGTAGCCTACAGCAGAAAACACACTTACAGGTTAGCTACAGCTCCTCTCCATCATTTCAACACATACACTGACTGTAGTTAGTGTGAGACACTGAACTGACCTCTGTTTGAACGGTAAGTGAAGTTCTCATCTTCGTCAAAATGAGCATCTCCACCAATGCCAGGGGATGGGGCGAATGCATGGGCAAGAGTACCACCAGGGCCATCAAAGGGGTAATAATCACCATGTGCTGTTAACAAGAACATACTCAGGTCAGAACCCAAGTACTCGTGCATTAAAATTTACTTTATATTGTCCTGTATAACAATAGTTTTTGTAAAGCAACAAATCAAAACTGGGTAACCATTGGAATCTATTGTACCTCAAACACAAATGTGTGTAAGTTAGGGGTATTGGTGAGATGTCACAACCTCAAACCTGAGCCAAGATAAACGCAGCCTTTTCAACACCCTAAGCTCTTACAAAATAGTGAAGAGGGTCTGAGATGTCTGCAAGCCCTGACATGCCAGTGGAATTATGTTGTTTCTTTGTTTTGTTGATGAACATAATGTAACTGTACTGCAACCATTGACAGTAACTAAAATAACAACTATACAGTATGTGCTATAGTAGAGGTGTCAAGAAATTGCAAACAAATATTGGTAAAAAAAACATACTGTACCAAACCCTAGCCCCATTGTTGACATTAAATACAGTAGGTCTACGACAACTCAAGTACCGTACTTTAGATTTTTTTTTTTACTGAAGTCACTTCATGGTATACTTTACTTAATCAACACATTTAGTTAATTCAGATTAAGAGTGTATTTTAAAAGTCTCTCAAATCTGATGCAGCGCTATTTGTATACAATATGATAATATAATATGAATATAAAACATGCAATAATGCACAATGAGTACTGTTGTTACTTAAGGTATACATGTTATCGTTATTGCTTAAATTCACTTCAGTCACCCTGAGAATGCAAGGTTTTTACTTTTTACAAAGGTTGTTTTCTTTAATATTTTTAGCTGACGGTATTCCTCCGTTTAACTTTAGTGAAGTGAACCTTTTCCACTACTGAAAGTTCTCTGTACTCACATTGGCGGCCAAAGGAGATCATGATGTCAGCGGTGCCGCTGTTGATTCTAGTGAACCTCAGAGGAGTGACTTTGGCCCAAACCTGCAGAGCTCTTTCTATAGAATCATCTACCTCAGACACAGACATGCCCGGAGTGTAGTTCACTATCCTGAGGAACAAAAGTCAAGAATATTATTAGTTAGACCTACTAAATAAACTCTTTCACACACATTCTCTCTTTAGATCAGTCACCTGTAGGTAAGGCTGTTTTTCTGCCACTTGTACTGTCCAAACGTGGAGAAACGGGCAAGATTTCCGTCGGGAACACCACAGCGAGGCTTCTTCATCATCGCCACGGTGTCAGCATCCAGCGTCCCAGTGATCTGGAGACCAAAGAATCTCTGCATCTCAATCAGCTTCCTGCTCACTGGGCTGACCCCCCGCCGGATAGTAGGACCGGTCTCCTCTGTTAGGTTGAAGAATTTCTTCAGGTAGCTCTGTAAAAGATAGCAAAGGTATTGGTCTACAGAGTTTGTAGAAACTTTCCAAAATGCACAAATTGAACACATCAAATGAAAACACGAATGCCCGACTACATACCTCTGCAAAATCTTCATCTTTCACATTGACTTGTGACACAGGCCCACAGTAAACTGCGAGTGCCAGGCTTAGAATGATGCTCAGACTGTAAGAGAGACTCATGCTTCTTCGTTGAGTGCGACTTGTGTTTTGTGCTGGCCTCAACTGTTATATATATATGTAGGCTGAGCAGTGGAGGCGATGGGGAGTGGGCGTGTTGAGTAACTACCTTCTTGAGTCAGTGATTCCATTTGAAGATGACAGGAGAAGATTAGCTTTGATTGTTGAGTCAAAGAAAATAATTCCCCAAAACAGAAAAACAAGACAAGCGGTATCAAAGTGATGGCATAGATACCTGACAAACATTGTGTAGATTGTCAGGTAGGATGACAGTTCATTTCTATATCAGTGTTTTGCTTCATTCTCATACATAACCTATTGTCTCTTATTCTTATTATCTAAGCGGTATTCTTATATTTTATTCAGATTTTACAGCATCCTGTCATGAATGAAATGTACTTAATCACTATCTGTCTTTGCTAACCCTCAGGCTACTGTTGCTGCTGACGCATGTTTGTGGGAAAACACGGACAAGTTGCGTCAAGTCATGAACAAGTCCTTCCGACCACAACCTATTTTCAGGTAACTTGAGAATAAACATGGACAGTGACAATGAATGTGTTGCAATAGAAAAACAGCATTGAATTTATAGTGACTCAAGAAGGTTTGAGTTTGAAGATGACAGGATAATATTATATTTGAATGCTTAGCAATTTAAAAAAACAGAGTAAAAAACAAACCCCCGTTCACCTATAAATGTAATTATATAACATTTTTGATTTGTCGAAGACAAGTAGTACAATTTCTACATGTTAGCATTAATCCTTTAAAAATCCTTGACCAATTAGGCATGATGTCTGTGTTACATATTAATTAAAAAAACGAACCACATTTTTAAAAATGAAATATGAAATCATAATAAATATAAAGTTTTTTGTTTGTTTTGCTTTTAACACATTTTTTAATTGATTTTCATGGGATAAAACTTGCAACAAACATCCATGTTTTCAAGTTATCTAAAATAATATTTATATTAAGAATAAAACCTTTTACATAACAGATTTTAAAACCAAAAGCCTGATTATTATTAATATGGTGTTGTTTTACCGTCCTGCACAACACTCTGAACCAAGCCTGTCTGTGTAAAACATGTTATGATCAAACACAGCCAGCAGCTAACAATTTCATTTCATTTCATTTCATTTTTATTTGTCCCGCTCATGGTACGCAAAACCAAATGTACAATAATTTTCACAAAACATGACCATTGAGCAAAAAGGAGCAGGGAGAAGAATACAATCTTATGTGACCTGCCCCTTTCTAAAAAAACCGAATAAATACAAATAGATGGTCTGCCCTTCATAATAATAATTTTCACAGCCAAACATAACAGTATCTTAGGATACTAAGAGAAACACACAAAAAAAAAAAACGTATTTCCCACTTGACGGTTTACGGAAAGAAACAAAACACCAAAACATCACATGTATAAGGAAAATAAATGCTAACAGCGAAGACAATGCAAACAACAGCAACAGTGCAATGCTGTTGTTAGCAAAAACCGCCATATGACCTCAGTGTAGAGAAGAAGCCAAAAGCCAACCTCAGACACAGCACTTCATTCATTTTTTTATTAATTAATTAATTTATCACCTGTTTAAAACATACAGTAAACTCATTCGCAAGACATATTTCGATCATGTGAAATGGGACATCCCGATAAGATATACGAACCTTGAGAATAGAGGCCCAGACACTAAACATAAAGTATTTACTATAAATATGATTAGCTCATCTAGAACTGGAGAGTTCATATACAGAAACATTACAACTGAACGACACCTCACACTAACCAAATACCTTAAAATTAAACTAACCCTAACTACTAAATGTTCTAAAGCATTTATTTCATCAGTCTTAACATTGATTTAAAATAAGTAAGAAAAAAGACATATTTCAAGGGAAATAACGGCTAATATAAATCAATTTCAGAGTAAAGTTAACGTGATGTCTACAGCCATTTATCTGACCAATTTTTTAAACAAGTGCTGCTTCAAACACTTTTTAAAAATAGACACAAATTAAATATACCTAAATAGTATTATCAACCCCTTTACATACCTGAGGACCTCTGCAAACCAAACCTAATCTGGTCTCCTGCTCTCTCCCAAATGGAGCTTTTCCCTCTTCAAGCTACCTAACTTCACTCCTTCTACCTTTGAGTTCCATGCCGTCACAGTAACCCATCCTATACAGTTAACCATTGTTGTTCTCTACCGTCCACCAGGGGGACTTCTTGGAGGAATTAGATAATCTCCTCTCACTCATCCCTGAAACTGGTCCTCCCGCTGTACTTCTCGGAGACTTCAACCTCCAGACGGGGAAGATAGACGAACTAACATCTCTGTTAACCGCCTTTGCTTTCTCACTGTCTCCATCCCCACCGACTCATAAAGCTGGCAATGTCCTTGATCTCATATTCTCAAGGAACTGCGCTACTTCTAACCTCTCTGTAAACCCGCTCCACACATCCGATCACTTCTTCATTTCATTCTCTCTATCCCTTTCCAAACATAACAAACTAATCTCTTCCCATCCTACACTTGTCCGCCGTAACCTTTGCTCCCTCTCCCCCTCTACCTTTGCCTCGTCGGTGCTCTCAGCCCTCCCTTCCTCTGATTCGTTCCAACTCCTGCTTCCAAACTCTGCTGCAGAAACTCTCCTCTCTACTCTCTCATCCACTCTGGACTCGCTCTGTCCTCTCACATCTCGGCAGGCTCGTCAGTCCCCTCCTGCTCCCTGGCTAATTGATGCACTGCGTGCTAATAGAACCGTCCTTAGGGCAGCAGAGCGGAAATGGTGGAAATCCAAACACCGTGACGACCTCCTAACCTATCAAGCTCTCCTCTCCTCTTTCTCTGCTTCGATCTCTCAGGCAAAAAGCACTTTCTTTCAAGATAAGATCCAATCTTCCTATTCCAATCCTAAAAAACTATTTTCCATCTTCTCCACCCTCTTGGACCCTCCAAAAGCTCCTCCCCCCTCCTCACTTCTGTCAAGCGACTTTGTTACCCACAAAAAGGTTGATGATATTCGCTCTTCTTTTTCTGACTCACCTTTACTCACCGCTGGGTCACCAGACCCTCCTTCCACCAACACACTTACCTCCTTTTCCCCTCTCTCTCCAAGTGAGGTTCTTACCCTCATTACCTCTGCCCGCCCTACCACCTGTCCTCTGGACCCTATCCCTTCAAACCTCCTTCAGACTATCGCTCCTGATATTCTACCGTTTCTCACCCATTTCATCAACACTTCTCTAACTTCTGGTCACTTTCCAAACAGTCTCAAGGAGGCAAGAGTAAACCCTCTCCTAAAGAAACCCACTCTCAACCCGTCTGATGTTATAAACTACAGGCCTGTCTCTCTCCTCCCGTTCCTGTCTAAATCACTTGAACGCGCTGTCTTTAAACAACTCTCCTGTTATCTCAATCAGAACAACCTTCTGGATCCGCACCAGTCTGGTTTCAAGGCAGGTCACTCCGCCAGAAACTGCTCTCATTGCTGTCACGGAGGAACTGCACACTGCCAAAACTGCATCCCTCTCCTCTGTCATCATCCTTTTGGACCTGTCTGCTGCATTCGACACGGTGAATCATCAGATCCTCCTTCGCACTCTCCAAAAACTTGGAGTTTCAGGCTCTGCACTTTCCCTCCTCACCTCATACCTGAAAGACCGTACCTACAGGGTGACTTGGAGAGGGTCTGAGTCCGACTCTTGTCAATTAACTACGGGGGTCCCTCAGGGCTCTGTTCTTGGTCCCCTCCTCTTCTCCCTGTACACAAACTCGCTCGGATCAGTCATTAGCCCGCATGGTTTTTCTTACCACTGCTACGCTGACGACACCCAATTAATTCTGTCCTTTCCCCGCTCAGAGACCCAGGTCGTTGCACGCATCTCTGCTTGTCTAGCTGACATCTCTCAGTGGATGTCTGCTCACCACCTCAAGCTCAACCTTGACAAGACTGAGCTGCTCTTCCTCCCGGGAAAATATTGTCCCACTCTTGACCTAACAATCAACACCGGCACCTCAGTTGTTTCCCCGACTCAGACTGCAAGGAATCTGGGTGTGACCCTAGATAACAACCTGTCCTTCACTGCAAACATCGCTGCTACAACCCGTTGCTGCAGATACACGCTTTACAACATCAGGAAGATACGTCCCCAGCTGACTCAGAAAGCGACTCAGGTTCTGGTCCAGGCTCTCGTCATCTCACGCCTAGACTACTGCAACTCCCTCCTGGCTGGTCTACCTGCATGTGCCATCCGACCTCTGCAGCTCATCCAGAATGCAGCGGCTCGTCTGGTCTTCAACCTTCCTAAATTCTCCTACACCACTCCGCTCCTCCGCTCCCTTCACTGGCTTCCGGTAACTGCTAGAATCCACTTCAAGACACTGGTACTTGCTTACCGTGCTGCGAATGGATCTGGCCCTTCCTACATCCAGGACATGGTTAAACCGTACACCCCAGCGCGTGCACTACGCTCTGCATCAGCCAAACGACTCGTTGCGCCCTCGCTGCGAGGGGGACACAAGTTCCCATCGGCGAAAACACGTGGGTTTGTTGTCCTGGCTCCAAGATGGTGGAATGAGCTCCCCATTGACATTAGGACGGCAGATAGCTTGCACATCTTCCGGCGCAAACTGAAAACTCATCTCTTTCGACTCCACTTCGAGCGTTAGAACTATTAATGAAGCACTTTTATACTAATAAAGGACTGGCTTACCTAAAGCCAGTTGAGTAGCACTTGAAATGTTTGGCTCTATGAAACCTGATGTACTTATATGATTCTGTTTTCTTCAAGGTTGTGTCTTCCTGGTCGAATGTACTTATTGTAAGTCGCTTTGGATAAAAGCGTCAGCTAAATGCAATGTAATGTAATGTAATGTACAGTAAGTTTGCATTTTATACCCTTTGTAAAATCCGTTACCCTATATGTATGCAGGGCGAAAACATTGGGATAAGGTCACACTGTCTGACGTTGAGCTTATTAACTACATTAAACGTCATTTTAGGAGATATTCGCCGTACAT